AGCCTTCAGAGACACATACCTAGTGAGCCTCTTGCAGCCCAGGGGGCCAGCAGGGAATGAGACAGAGCTCAAGGCTTGAAGCCTGAGCCTAAAAGTCAAGGGACGAGAGAGAAGGAAGACAGTCCCGGATGAGCTGCTATTTTCGTCACTTTCTTCTCTCCCCCTTTGAACTTGGTAACTCACATGGCTAAAGAAGCAATAAATCCCTATATTGGTGCAGACCCTAGTCCTGGGCTCCCCTTGGCTTCCTATTAGACTGCAAATCCTCATGCCCCCAGCCTGCACTGTATCCTCAGGCCATGGTTGAGTTAGCAGTACCAGTCAGAGGCGATTGGGGGGATTTGAAGGGGCAGAGGCCAGAGAAGACAGCTAAGTGAGGAAGATACAACTGTTAGAGGGAAGCCGAGAAGTACAGAGAAGGGTGGAGAGAAGCCAAGGAGAGGAAGTCCAAGAAGGATGAAAACAGCTGCCTGAAGAGGAAGGCTGGGAGCCAGAGCCCTCTGTTGCACTAGAGGAAGGCTGGGAGCCAGAGCCCTCTCTTGCACTAGAGGAAGGCTGGAAGCCAGAGCCCTCTCTTGCACTAGAGGAAGGCTGGGAGCCAGAGCCCTCTCTTGCACTAGAGGAAGGCTGGGAGCCAGAGCCCTCTCTTGCGCTAGAGGGCTTGCATTGTGCATCAGGGGCTCAGGGTTCAGGCAGGGGTTTCACCATTACACTGGGGATTGACTGCACAAACCTGCCTGTGAGGAGCTGGGGGAAGACTATAGAAGGCAGGTTGATCCCCATAGTACTTTTTGGGCTCCCCAATTTGCTTGGCAGTGGGTTTTTCAGCTCTGCCCATGTTGGGACATGTTCCTCCATGTCCAGCTGGCACCCAGTTCTCAACTGTGCCCTTAGTTGCTCCACACCATCATTTCTCAGCCCAGAAGGTGCTCCATTAGTTAACCCAAGCATGTCCCACAGCCCTGTACAGTTTTGACTGCATCCTATCCCCTTCCAATCTCAGTTCGTTCCAGAGGAGATGCCCCCAGCCAGAGGTGCAAGCTGACCTTGCAAAATGACAGCATGAACCCTATAGGCAAGGAAGGCAGCTACTGGTGTTCCTGTATCAGACACCACTGACTGCCATGTGCTGCCTGCCTTGCTTACGCCAAGTCCCAAGCAGTCCTCACCTTGCTGTCGTGGTCCCTTTCTCTTCACCTTACTCTGGGCAACCTCATGGAGGTCTAAGGGTTTAATACACAAAAATAAGAACATTTATACTCATCTCAACCCTGCCCCCACCTATGCCTCTACCTTGGGAAGATACCAATTTATCCTGGAGAAGTGGGATCCAGTGAGTTTCTGAGTGTTCTTCCTGCATTTCCCCCCATCACATCTAGCCCACCTTCACCTCACTGCTGTTCCACGCATCATACACATCGCCCATTCACAGCTACACCTAGGCTACTTCCTACCACCCTCAGAAAGGATTTCAGGGCTAACTTCTGATTTGCCCATCAACACTCCCCCATCCCTGCACCCCAACACATGTGCCATAAGCATACTTGCCAATTCACTTCTGAAGACTGTGCCCATCTCCCTGGGCTCAGCCAAGGGACTTTGTCCTCCTCAAAGCCTTCTGGGACCAAGCAATGCTCTGTAGCCTGCTTCTGTGATTTTTGTCTGCAAGGACCAAGTATCCAGGGTTGAGGCACAATGCTGACCCTGAGCAACACTGGAGAGAATGACATTGAGAAGCCCCATGAAGAAACTTGGATGGGCAGAAGGCTCTAGGACATAAGGGACTAGGAGGTAGGGGGTGCCCTGGGAGATACCCAAGCAAGGCTTGTAGACTCCTCCCATCTCTGTAGTCTTCCCATGGTTTTGGGACAGAGGACACCAATAGGACCTGAGGCTGCTTGAAATTCAAGTGGGAGACAGTTGGGGTAGGAAGAGATGCAAAAGTTCCTGCTATGTGCATTACAGGGTAGAAATAGCTCAGAGAAGCTGGGTTCTACCAGAACACCCACAGTAGTATGCACAGTGACAGCCCAGTCCTCCACAATGGCCTTATCCTGCAGAACCATTCATGTGGGCTGCTGAAGCTGACTCAGTCACCTGTAGTGGCACTCAGGGACTTTAGGTCCAGGACTTCAAGGTGATGTCTATGGTGTATTCTTGTTCCCCATATCTTTTCCCTCTTTGTCTAACTGGTGGCTCCTCTGTACCTGGGTTATGTCACTTCCTCTTTGAAGCCTTCTGTCCCGCCTCCCCCACCAGAAACAGGCCTTCTTGCTTTCCCTCTGAACACAGCATCCTTGGATCGAGTCTTGGCAGCTCACTGTAAGCATAAGACTCCTGTGAGATGTGAAAATGAACATGGGACTTCTAAAGTAGCCAAGATCATACAGGATGCCACTTTGCAAAACAAACATTCACGCACAAAATGCAAGACAGTCCAACATGCAAACTGTGAGCAATGCCACAGCACTTCATGTGATCCTTGCTACCTGCTCATAAAACCCCAAGGTGGGAGGATTATGAGCACCCCCAACTGAAATTTGTGGACAGTGCTAAGGGCCATCAATCTCTGGGCTATCCAGCACCAAGCCCAACACAGTCCCCTGAAGATGGCAATAACGCTATCTGAGAAGAGGTCTAATATTTTTATTCGATATACTTACAAGATGAACAGGAAATAGGAGCTCTAGGAACGTGGCTCACTCCCAAGAGAGAGCAGAGTTTTCCTTTCCTTAAATATCTCACCTGTGCCCATCCCCTGTACACGCCCCTTTGGGCGTGGACAATATTGTAGGCTCACCCCTACAGTCCCCTCCTCCTGGCTGGATGTTCCCAACTCCCCAACCCTTGACCCTTAGGGAACTGCTCTGGTTCAAGGCCCTGGGCCTCCATATGCATTCCAAAGCCAATGGACTTCTCTAACAGCAATCATCTTAAAAAGGACTTGGGTTGTTTAAGATCTGCCCATCGTTTAGAGTCTTTCCTGACTTATACCTTAATCATTCTCAGCACTTGCTTGCTTGGGTATCTCACCCAACTTTTATATCTGGTTGAAACCTGCCCCATCCTCCATACCCCTCCCCCCCCACTGAACAAGCACCTGCCTACCCTGGACCCTCAGTACATCCCCTAGCACTACCTACCCTCCCACCCACCCACACACCTGTTCACCAGGGCTGTGGCTCATCTGCCCACTCTACCCATAAACCCTTGCCAACTCCTGACCCCAAACATGGAACTGCTTTCATCCAGCAGACTGGGACCACCACTGGACTGACTGGACATGGGCAGCTCCCATTGATTGATTCCAGGGACACAAGCTCACAGGTTTTCTTCAACCCCCCAAAACCGGCAGGAAATTGGCTCTAGTGAAATGAGGACAAACATAGGATCAGTTCCCAAGGTCTGATAAGGAAACAGGCCCGGGGATAGACCTGGATCACCTCCCTTTGGGTCTCACTGGTGACAACGAAGCCACAGTAAGAAAGAGGGCCAGGAAGGGTTACCACAGGCCTGAATGCCAGCTTCATTCCAGTGGGTAGGGAGGGGGGTGCTCCTTCTAAGCCCTCCTGGCTTCCAGGGGCCCCATTCCCCACAGCCTAGTCCCCACTCCCAGCAGCCTGGCTTTATGACTTCATTTGCTGGTCACTTGATGACAATGCTGAGCGTTCCACTCCTCCAAGTCCAGGCCCAGCCCAACCAGACGCCTCCCCACAGTGGGGATGAGGACAATGCCTGCTGGCCCGTGTGGGGAGGGGATGTAGAGGGCGGCGGCACCAGCCGCTCCTGGCACCATGGACGATGCCGCAGTCCTAAGGAAGAAGGGTTACATCGTAGGAATCAATCTGGGCAAGGGCTCCTATGCAAAAGTCAAATCCGCCTACTCTGAGCGCCTCAAGTTCAACGTGGCAGTCAAGATCATAGACCGCAAGAAAACACCCACTGACTTTGTGGAGAGATTCCTTCCTAGGGAGATGGACATTCTGGCAACCGTCAACCACCGTTCCATCATTAAGACCTACGAGATCTTTGAGACATCAGATGGACGCATCTACATTGTCATGGAGCTGGGTGTCCAGGGCGATCTCCTCGAGTTCATCAAGTGCCGAGGAGCCCTGCATGAGGATGTGGCACGCAAGATGTTCCGCCAGCTCTCCTCAGCCGTCAAGTACTGCCACGATCTGGATGTCGTCCACCGAGACCTCAAGTGCGAGAACCTTCTGCTTGACAAGGACTTCAACATCAAGCTGTCTGACTTTGGCTTCTCCAAGCGCTGCCTGCGGGACGGGAGCGGGCGCATTGTCCTCAGCAAAACCTTCTGTGGGTCAGCGGCTTATGCAGCCCCCGAGGTGCTGCAGGGCATCCCCTACCAGCCCAAGGTGTATGACATCTGGAGCCTGGGTGTGATCCTCTACATCATGGTCTGTGGCTCCATGCCCTATGACGACTCTGACATCAAAAAGATGCTGCGCATCCAGAAAGAGCACCGAGTGGACTTCCCACGCTCCAAGAACCTGACTGGTGAGTGCAAGGACCTCATCTACCGCATCCTACAACCAGATGTCAACCGGCGACTACACATTGATGAGATCCTCAGCCACTCATGGTTACAGCCCCCCAAGCCCAAAGCCATGTCTTCTGCTTCCTTCAAGAGGGAGGGGGAGGGCAAGTATCGAGCTGAGTGCAAGTTGGATACTCGACCAGGCTCAAGACCTGAACACCGGCCTGATCACAAACTGGGGGCCAAACCCCAGCACCGGATGCTGGTGGCCCCTGAGAATGAAGACAGGATGGAGGAGAGGCTGGCTGAGACTTCCAGAGCTAAAGACCACCACATCTCTGGAGCTGAGGTGGGGAAAGCAAGTACCTCGTAGTGGAGTGGGCCCTGGGGAGTCATGGTGTGCAGTTTGCACTCACATAAGCTAAATAGGCAGGTAGGAGCTGAAGAAGGCACACGCGCAAGGAACAAGTAAAATCCGTCAATTAAACCACTATTTTGATTACGTTCTATTAGCTTTATTCCACTTAGTAGCAAAGACATTAATTACTGACCACCAAATAAACCACAAAGTGTATACAAGCATTGAGAGTGCCCAGTGGGGAGTCTTTTTCTCTAGGACTCATCCAGCGCGGGGATCTCTAGCATAGGGTTCCAGGAACCTGTACACAGGCCCAGGCAGACTCAGTGAGGCCTGTAGCAGAGGGGACTTCTATTATAGTTCTCTTGCCAGGCTCACGCTTGTCAGCGTCTGGCCTTCTCACACCAGCAAGGCTTCCAAGCCTGGACAGCTGGACAGCTCCTTTACCCAATGCAATATAAGCCACCTTGACCCTGTCTTGTTTTTATTCAGTGGTCAGTATTCATTAACCTCAAAGAGGCAAAGTTAGGGAGCTTTGCTGCTCAAGCCTCACCCTCCCCATTCCCAGGAATGGGGCAGCTCAGCTGACAGTTTGTTGATATTGTCCCCATCCTGTATACCTGCCATGCCCCACCCCCAGCATCTCTCAAAGTGCCTAGGTGCCATGTCCTGATTACCATCCCTCCTAAGGTTCACTCACGCTGACAAATGCTTGAGTAGGCAGCACCTGTCCTCTCCATCTTCCCACTTACTGGGGGAAGCCCATAGATTAAAGTTTAAACCGTCCTGAGACAGAAGGATCTCAGCTCCAGCCCTGAGGGTTCCAGGGCAGACACCCTGGGAGCCCACAGGAACCCACTGTGGGGAACTACTGGTTAGCAGAAGCCTGACCTAGTTTGTATCTGATGCCATGATAAAACTTTAACCAAAAATAACTTAGGGGAGGAAATGGCTTATTTCAGTGCACTTCTAGGTCACAGTTCATCACTCAGGGAAGCTGGAAGCTGGAGCAGGAACCCAGGCAGAGACCATGGAGGAACACTGCTTCCTGGTTTCCTCTCTAGATCATTCCTAGGCTTTCTTACACATCCTAGGATCATGGCCCAGGGATGCTGCTGCTGGGCCCTGCCCTCCTACATCAATTAGCAATCAAGAAAATGCCCCACAGACATGCCCTCAGGCCATTCTGATGAGAGGTAATTCTTCATTTGAAGTTCCTTCTTCCCAGGTAACTAGCTGTGTCAAACTAACAAACTAGCTATACAAGGCCCAAGACAGGAGGTACTCAACCCAGGTGATCTCTAGAGAACACCAGGGCAGAGGCCTGAGAGGACCAATGCCTGCAGATTGGAAAGGTGGCTCTCATGGAATTAAAGGAGATCTGGGGCTGGGAAGTCAGGTGTGCTTCAGGCCACCTGAATAGCTCAAGCCCTGGGCTGCTCAGAGGGCAAGTCCTGACACCACCAGTGGTCTCAAGACCACTGGCTGGGGAATTAGATCAGTTGCCAACTCTGTTAGGCCCAAACAGCAAGGACCGTTCACCTCTGTAAGGCAAAGGCTCACAGGCCCAGTTGACCACTTGTCACCCGAGGACCAGCTACCCTTAGTTCACAGGCAAATGGCTGGCTGCTGGTGCACATGGCATTTATTAGTTTGCAGGGAACCAAACTCTCTTCATAGTAGAGTTCAGACTGAGGTAAGGCTGGTGTCTTAGTAGAGCCCAGTAGGACGTGCCAAGAACACTGGAATAAGCAGAGACTAGGACGGGGAGGCAGCCTAGCCTTAGCCTGAGCTGGAAGCCAGGTGCTGGGAGGTAACAGCTGAAGTCACAAGAAAGTGACTTGTCCTACTGTGAGCCTGATAAGCAGAACCTACCTGGGCCTGTAACCAACAAACCAAATGGTCAGGCCAGGCTGGGAGGTTGCAGAACTGGACCCAGAGCCCATGAGCTCGATGGCACAACTTCTAGGGTTTGTGCTATCCTTCAACAGTGGAAGTCTCAGATGTGAACTCAGCATAGAAGGCAGCTCTGTGAGCCAGTTTTCTCCCCAGAATCCATTGCTTCTAGCCCTGAGGTCCCGAGACACCCAGGTGGCCCAGGACATGGATCAGCAGCCTGGCCAGAGGGTGCCAGGTGTCCTTTAATAAGGGTTCAGTTGAAAGTTAACTAGAAATCAGTTTCAGCAGGGCCTTGAGGGACAGCACCAGTGCTACACTCCCAAGGGAGTGGTCAGTGTGACATGCCAGCCTGGCCATGGCACATCACTATACACTGTGGTTCCTGGGATAACCAACTGCCCGTGGTCTGGGTCTCCAAGGCCCAGAGTCATCTGAAGAGTAGACAGCTGCCCCACACATTTCACAAAGTGTCCCATAAAGCATCCACAGGTCCTGTCAGGCTTGGTTCTAGAAGAAGTCTGAAGCTTTGCGCCGGGCAGGGAGCTGCAGCAGATTGTCTGTGATGGAGGCTGGGTCCTGTGTGAGGGGTGTGCGTGTGGCAGACCCAGGGGCTGGTGTGCTTGTGGGGGTCTGTGGCCCACCAGCTGGAGTCTTGAGGTGGGTAGAGCGTGCTGGAGATGGTGTGTAGCTGGCCCTCAGGGCTCGATCTGTATACTTGCTGGCTGTCCTGCTTACCAGGCGCTGTAGGGCTGGGGACATAGCTGGACTCAGGCCTTTGGGAGTAAGACTGTAGAGAAGAGACAGAGGAAAGCAATGGCGTTAGGGGGCCAAGTGCTACTTAAGGCAAGGCCTCCCTCAGTTCCTCAGGAGGAGCCCTATCAAGAGACATGGTCACTCTGAGCTGAGGAGGACAACACTGGCCACACCTGAGGGAGGCACTGTGGAACTGCTTTGGCTGTGAGGCTGGATGGACCACAGACTTCTGAGAGCTGGAGTCTCCACCTCTCTCCAATGTGAATGATTCCACAGGACTGACAAGAGCTCACAGTCGGGCAAGGAGCCTAAAGGTACCCCTTGGAGAAGACCAAGGAGGATACTGAGGAAAGATGGAGAGTGCCTCACTGTCTGCTCCACATACAGCCACGTGCTGGGGCAGAGCAGCAGCCACAGTCCTTACAGAAGAACCCCGTGGACATACCAAAGGCCTGTCCTGCAAGCCATGTACCACATGGCCTCAGAGGCTGAGAGTAGGAGTGAGGCAGGCACAAACCCATGTCTATCCCCATCCTACACAAGGGTCCAGCTGCCTCTCACCTGGCCAAGTTCTCCGTGACTCTCCGCAATGCTTCCTGCTTCTTGGCCCTGTTTTTGGCAGCTGCTTCATTGGCCATCTTCAGACCCAGACGCTCCCTGCGTCCTGGCTCCAAGATCTACAAAGCAGCAGGCATGTGGGTGACCTATGCTGGAACTGCCACCTAGCCAGGCAACCCATTATCCAGAAGGGCAGCTGCGTGGACACCAACCTCTTCTCCATGGCTGCTACAATCTCAGCAACTCATCTGTTACAATAGCCTGACAAAAGTCCCCACCTGGTTGGATGTAGTGGTGCATTCCTGCAATCCCAGCAATTGGCAGGAGACTATAGATTTGGGACCACCCTGGGCTACACAGTGCGACACTGTTTTAAAAAAAACAAAAGCAAAATGGCTCAGTGGGTAAAGATGTTTGTTAAAAGCCTGACGACCTGGTTTCAATCCCCTTCTGAGACCCCACAGGGTGGAATGAGAGAACCATTCTAGCAGGATTGTTCTCTGACCTCCACATATGAGATGTGTCACATGCCATGCTCACAACAAATGCTTAGACACACAGTCACACAAATAAATAAATGCAAAACAACACAAAATAAGGGGCTGGAAGCTGGGAATGGTGGTGCATGCCTTCAGTCTCAACACTTGAGGCAGATCTCTGTGAGTTCCAGGCAAATCTGAGTTACACAGTGAAACCCTCTCTCAAAAAAACAAAAATAGGGGCTGGAGAGATGGCTCAGAGGTTAAGAGCACTGACTGCTCTTCCAGAGGTCCTGAGTTCAATTCCCAGCAACCACATGGTGGCTCACAACCATCTATAATGAGATCTGGCAATCTCTTCTGATATGCAGGCAGAACACTGTATACATATAAATAAATGTTTAAAAAAAGTGGTCATTTAAAAAAAAAACAAAAAACCCAAAAAGCTAGTCCTAGCACTTCAGGGTGGAGGGTGTGTACACGAAACAGGTCCTGAGTTAAATCCCCAGCACCCCCCCAAAAAAAACCCAAACGAAAACAAACACAACAAAAAACAGTTTTCACTACATCGTTACCTTCTAGTTGCTTTTACAATTATTGTTTATATTTAAGGTTTTCACCTTTCTGGAACTTACTTTGCTGTTACCTATATTCAGAACCTAGTTTACCTTATCCTCAAAGGCCCTGCAATCTTGCACCATCTGAAACACCACCTTTCCCATACCCCCCATTCTGTCTGTCTCCAGCTTTCCACCCTGCTTGACACACGCACAATACAAGGCACAGCAGGCTGCATCTGCCCTGTCTCCTGCAGAGCCTGCCCAGGGTTCATTTTGTTTCAGAACTCTTCTCTCCTGCAAGAGGCCACTCCAGATCAATGGCACTTCCTGTGAGGTCAGAGCCTGGTCATGCTTTCATAATACAGCATTGTGTTTATTCCTCTCTCACTTTGTCTTGGTTATCTCACACCCCAGACACAGTCTACAACAAAGACCTCCGAAGTGTCTATCCATGATTTGTCTAGGTGTGTAGTACATAAGCTCTGGGGAAGGACCCACACAGCACCATGTGTAGGGGAGGTCCTCCTGGCTTGGGCCAGGAAAGCAGTGTCAGGACTGCAGTCCACGTCTGACATTTGCTTTATGAAAGCTATGCTATTGCTGGTGATTCTGATTCTACTGCTGTACTAACATGATCTCTTTTACCACATTCCAAGTTGATCACGGCCAGTATTTGGAGGGACTGTGACCCAGTCACCAAAGCATACCTATATATTTATTCAACACTACACCTGATCTTTTTGGGTTTTCAAAGAAGATTCATATTCTTGGTCTGCCTACTCAATACCCTGAGTCAGTGGGCTCAGCACCCTCACAATGAGCATGTACATTCTCAAGCATCAGAGACCTTCCCCCCTCACATTCCAACTACACAGACACTCTGCTTTATCCACAAACTCCTGACACTACATTCTTTCCCCATAGCTCTCTGGGTCATATCTGCCCACCCACCCATCCAATCCATCAGGGGCCATCTGAATTGTATAAGCTGTCTGTCCACCTCTAGCTTCCTGCTCCACCAGGCAGAGGCCACATGATGTACACCAGGCCTCATTTGACTCAATCTTTCTGATCTGCTCTAGGTCCTACAATGCTGGGCTCACACTGTACTATCCTGAGTGTCCTTGACTATGCTATGTAACCAGAGGCCAGCACATAGTCCTCAGGGGACACACACTAAGTCCCATAGTCTTCAGGCCTACAGGGCAGTTTGAGTTTGTCTGACTCCAGGCTTTCTCTATTGCCTTGGCAAGGTCTCCACTCTTCCAAATCCCTTTTTGATAGTCCTACCACAATCCCTTCTTCCACAGAAGCCCAGTCCCCAGACTCAAGCAGCAGTACTAAGGCATCCACAGAGTCCCAGCCTGATCCCCTCTTACCACAACCTACCTTGAAAGTCGGTCCTGGTGTCCTATCCACATAGGGGCTCTCTGACCCTTCGACTCTCAGGGGAGTATTTTCAACTTCTCCCCATGTCATCAGTGGTGACTCATTCATACCTGCAGATGGAGAGCCCAAACCTTAAGCAGAGGACCTAGTGGGTCCTAATACATGTATCCCAGATGACATTAAGGTCAAAGGGCAAACTCTTCCCTGAAATTCCAGAACCTAGCAACCACATCTGAAGGGAAATACCTAAGATACCAGAGCCCCAAGGCATAATAACTGTACTTAGATTGGGGAAGGTGGGTCTGTCGGACCCCATCCTAGCATAGGACCAGAGGTACCAAGGAAAGAAAACACTCTGGCTTCCTAAATCCCAGTGCAAACCTATGGTGTCTTCATATGCCCTTGTCACATTACAACTGGCACTGAGTGTGGAGGCCAGTGTGCAGAGAGGCAGGGGAGCAGCCTGTGCGTCAAGGACACACCCAATTCTCCCTGCAGAGAGGCTGTCCAGAACCTTCCCACCTACATAACTATCTGAATGTAGATCTGTAAGCACCATGCATGCACACACACAGGCAAACCTATTCACATCACAGGGAAGACCAGACAAGCATGGCACCCTGGGACATCTCAAAGCACGTTTGCTGAGTCTAGCCTGTCCCGTCTGGATTTATCGCCCATTTCTTACCAGGAGCAGGGGAAGGAGTGGCAACAAATCCAAAGCCTCCCACTCGGGGGGACTCTTGAGGAATAAGCTCCTTGCCATCAGGGCCAACCTTGCCCTGTTTGTGCTGGAAGAGAGAGAGAGAGGCCAGTGTTAGAGGTTTCTCCACAGCTGACTTGAGGGCAGGTACAGAGGGACATGTAGGAAACACTTCTCCTTGGGATAGAGCTTGGGCTCTAGGACTGGCAGATCCCTTAGGGAAAGAGAGGGACCCCCATCCTCATCTCACCCCAAGGACTTTGAGGGACTATAGTAGTGAACATCAAGCAAGGGGTGCCCTTCCCTCCACCCAAAGAGGAACCTCTTGGGTTGCAATGCTACAAAGGGCCGCTGCTGTCTCTCTCGCTTGAGGAATCCGAATCTCCCTATCTCTCCTGCCTCTTCTCCCCCAACCCCATGATGACTAGAGCCAACCTCTGAGGGCACTCACTCATCTTAATCCCCTCTGGCACTTCCCAGTACACACTGTTCTATTCACCTCCCTGCCTGGTAGATAGGTATGGGTCTGGGTTGGCTTCCAGAAGCTTCTCTCCTCTCAGGCCAACATCATAGAAGCTGGTACAGGACTGGACCCTATAGGTCATATGTCTGGCCCCATTGGAAGGGACCAAAAAGAGAAATGGGTCCTGCCACACAGGGGCTGTGATAGTTTTGCCACTTAAGCTCTATCTAGCCTCAGAACAATCCTAACAAAGGGGACAACGAAGATGGGAGAGGCCACACCTATCTACAGTTAGCCTATCACATTTGTCCAGTTGCCTGGTGGCTCTGCTACTCACCTGGGCATTCAGGGCAGCTGCCTGCTGAAGCTGGGACCTGCTCAGGGCCTGACTGAAGGGGTCCCGGAGGAAACGTGTATTCTTATGCACTACCTGCCGTGGCTTCTTGAACAACTGCTCTTCATCAGGGACACCTATCAAAGGAAGAACAAGGTAGCAGGCATCATAGGGGTGGGGAGTTCCACGCCCTCCTCAGCCCTGGAAGTCATGCAGCCTGAGGGGTGAAAGCATCCTCAGCTAAGTCACTCCCAGCCAAAGACCACACCTATAGAACCCAAACAGCAGTGGGGGAGGCCTCAATGCCCCACAAATGCCACAGGCTCCCCAACCCCAAGATGGACCAGGACTTCTCTCTGGTCCATGCTGCAAGTGTACACACATACATAGCCTTTAAAAGTTGGCTCAAAGGTAACCAGACAGACCACTGTAGTCCCTGTCTTCCTGTCCTGCCACTCAGTTCCATTCACTCACCCTCAGGATAGTACATGAGAGAATTCTTGGCTTTATACTTCCAGGTCTCCACTCCAGCCTGACTGCTCTCAATGGCTTGACGCTCTGCCGATGGGAGTTCAAGATTATCTTTCTGTCGCTATAGTGACATGGGAAGAAAGTGGGATCAGGGAGTCACCCAGACCCTGTACCTGTGGCACTGGGATTCCATCCCCCAAAAAAGTGCCTATATTTTCAAACTCCAGGGATACCTTTTCAAATTCCTCCTCAGCTTGGTAGAGCCATGCATGGCGGGCATGGCTTTTTTCCTTGGCCACTTCCATGATCTCCTGGAAGGAGGCATTGTCTTCACTTGTGTAGCGGCTCAAGAAGACATCCAGGCTGGGCAGCGGCTCCTTCTCCTCCTCATCTGCAGCCTCTCCTGCTCAGAAGCCACAAGGAGGGAAACACAATACCGCATACAGCATGATTATAACTGTACAGCCAGTCTTGGGAACCACACAACAAAGAGCTGGAACCCTGGCTTCTGTTGGTGACACAACAAACCCCAACTGTTTAGGCAGCCCCAGGTGGCATCCACAGCTGACTGGCTAGCTCCACTCATCTGCTGGGTGCCAAGAGAAGTCTGTGATCTGGCTGACGGGTGAAGGGGCAGGGACAAACACTGAAGCAAGAGCTCATGATAACTCTTTTCTCTGCCCAAACTGTACTAATCCTGTAGTACTGATCTCCAAAGCCCCAAGGGCTTTTCTTTCCTTCATCGGATTACCTTATCCTAACTACCTTTCCGTTTTCGACTGGTGCTACAGGTAAGTGGTGGTCACTAAGCATCAGGGTATGCTAGTTAATTCCTAAGGCAGGGGCCTATATGGCCCAATGCTCCAGAGAGGGCCACAGACTCTGGGTCACAAAAGTCAACCATACCACCTCAATCCCTGCCATCAAGGCAAGTGGTACTCCTGCAGAGGTAGCACTGAAAATCTCGGGGGGGGGCATGTGAAGCTGAGGGTTCTCATCTGATCTACTGACAGTCTTGACTACTATCTCTGCCAGCCAATGCCAACCACAATGGCTACAAGTTTAAGACCTGAGGTTAGAAAGGGGGAAGACTTGGGTCCCATTCAACTGTTGACTATCCTAACACTTAGAGAAGTTACAGTCTTTTGAAGCTTTATCTGTAATCACAAGCATTCCAATGTTTACTGATAACATATACGTGTATAAAAAGAAGAGCATCTTCAAATTACCCTGTGATTCTACTGTATTTCAAGATCCAAGAATAACCACGACCATGTTCACAGCAGAAAAAGCTGTGCTGTTGAGAAACTAAGCTTGTGTGAGCATGTTGTACATTTGCCCTAGTACAGTATGCTGTAGACTAGAGTCTGGTAGAAAAACAGCTTGCCCCCCTCTAAGGATACATCCTATTACTGGGAAAAAGATCAACTGGCACAGACAAGTCCCTTACGTATGCAGCACACTTACACATCCAATACATTTACAAAGCGTTCCTCCTAACCTTAAAATATGCCCCATGCAACACATTCATCTGCTCTACATGTCTGTTGATGCTACAGCACACCATGGGCTATTCCTCTCTGGGAGGGTATCAGAATTAGTAATTAGGGTGAGAGGCAATAAACAGAAGTGTCTTCTGAGATGTTATAGTCTGCAGTGAAACACAAAGCCAGCAGTGTGGGAAACAGTGAGACTCTGGTTTCAAGAAAACAAACAGATCAGAAAAACAAAGGTAGTCTGTGAAGCCCAGAGCCCCAGGGCGTTCCAATTTTACACAAAAGGTCAGGAAGCCTCAGCATCCACGAAGTTTATGCCTCTTAGCCCAAACAGGTAACACCTGAATATAGACCTGAAGGAAGAAACACAACAAGCAACTACTGTGGAAGAAAGGAAGAAGGGGCCTGAGGCATCAGGAGTCAGTAATGAAAGCCTTCCTGACCCACAAAGCCCACAAGGCAAAGGCTCGCCCACTGAACAGGCTGGTGACAGGAAATGGGCTCTCATTCTAGAGACAGGCCAGCAGCACAGAATACTGCTCCTCCACAACTGGGAGCTAGACAGATTTTCTGCTTTTCACACCAGTGTCTTTTTTATTTTGGTTTTACGAGACAGGGTTTCTCCGTATTGTTTTGGAGGCTGTCGGACCAGCCCGGCCTCGAACTCACAGAGATCCACCTGCCTCTGCCTCCTGAGTGCTGGGATTAAAGGTGTGCACCACCACCGCCACCCGGACACACCAGTGTCTTTGATCCCCAAAGTTGATACTTGGGCTGGGAGACCCCCCTCCCAAGGATGGAATGTGATCCTGAGAAAACTCAATATGACTCCTAAGCACTCGACCATGAGACCAAAAGAGGGAGTTCACTCACCATCATCTAGGTCCCGCCCCTGGGGCCGGAGCTTGCTCCCCACCACACCAGAGCCTGTGTGTACCTCAGGAGTTTCAAAGGTGGCTGGAGTAACATCTGAGGGAAGGAAACTAGAAATTAGAGCGAGCCTGAAGTGACAACAGATGTCCCCTCTCTGCCCTCTAGAGCAGCAACCTCTTACAGGGCGGTGGAGGTTCCCGAGACATCTTGCCCAGGGCAGAGCCAAACTTGATGGCAATCTGACGCATACGCTCCAAATCTCCATTTTCCTCAGCCTCCAGGTATTCCTTCTGTGCCTGTAGCTTCTCCACATCAGGGAAGAAATCTCTCTGGATGACTGTCTGCAGTCCCTGTCACAAGCAATCCGAACAAAAGGCCAAAGCTGGCATCTGGGAGCCATGACACCGTTATCCACGTTAGGCCCTAAGGTTCTTTTCACGTCTGCCTATCTGGATGATAGGCAAAATAGTTCAGGAGCATTTTCTAGTACGGCTGTCCATCCCATACAGTGCTGATGTATTAGAATAACCTTCCCCCCCCCCTCGATACAGGGTTTCTCTGTGGCTTTGGAGCCTGTCCTGGAACTTGCTCTGTAGACCAGGCTGGCCTCGAACTCACAAGAGATCTGCCTGTCTGTTGGGATTAAAGGCGTGTGCCGCCGCCGCCACTACCACCCGGAGCGGAAAAACCTCTTGATGCCCATAAAATCCTAGTTCTCCTTTGCTGGCTCCATCTACAACACCAGCCAGACTAATGTAGATGTTGCCTTCCTCATTCCACCCATGGATTTTTATTCCAATCCAAACCTTTCTCTTGAAAGCCCATCACCACTACTGCCACCACCGGATGAAATTCCCAAGGTTTCACCGCCAGCCAGACCTTGCTGTGGAGTTACGAATCTATATACCCAGCTACGTGGCGATGATACATGCCAACCTATCCTACAAGCGTCCTAAATTTAACCGGTCTGCTTGCCCTCCAGCACAGTGGGATCCCTAACTCGAGAAGCAACCGAGACCCTCACTCAATAATACGGCCAGCACCGCGGTCTACCTCCACGACCCCCCAGCCTTTACACTTAATGCCGCTGCCTTCCAGAAAGTCCTTTTCTCCATCACCCTAAAAACGTGTCAAAACTCTGCCCATACTTTAATAGGAAACGTTATTTCCTTGACCCTCAACAAACAACGGAAAACTGGACACCCGCTTCTGCGCTGTCTTCTTGGCTCTTAAGACTTTCTAAACCCAAAGGCTGCTGAGAGTTCTAGGTCCAGAAAACATTTAAAGAAGTGGAGAGGAACGCGAATCGGGGAAGGGGCCCGGAAGTCGCCAGCGCTCGCACTGAGCTGGTACCTCGATGTATTCGTCTTCATCCAAAATCCGCTGCCTGCTTTTCGCTACCCCAGCCTCCACGGCCGCGCGTTTCCTCGGGGGCGCAGACGCGGAGGGCAGATATAGAGAGCCCGCCGAAGCCCCGGGCGTCCCCATCGCTATCCCAGAACCGCTCGGACGGCGTCGGCGTCACACTAACAGCCAGCCAATGGAGAGGCAGTACTTTTGTAACAAAGCCGGCGCTCCAAATGATGTCACTGGGAGCGCCGGATCTTAAGGGAGTTGTAGTCTTTGATACCCATCCGCGTTGCTCGTGCCTGTCTAGACTATGGCCATTAGGGGGCGCTGTGGGGAGACTGACGCCACATTCCTTCTTTTAGAAGTTCCAATTTTTCCTCAAGAAACAAAAAACAAAGTCGTTTTTAAATACTTCAAAAAACTTGGTTACATATAATGTCAAAACTCAGAAAAAGAACACCAAGTCTTCCCAGATAGTTATCTAACAAAAGGTAAACGAAAAGAAAGAACAAGAGGGCGCTTGGAGCTCTGGTTAGGTTTATTAGTTAGGGTGGGCTTCCCAAAAGAGACCTGTACTCACTGAAAGCGTTCACGGTACTTCCATTCTAAGGGAAATCGTGAATCATGCCAAATCAGTTCTAGCCCAGAATGATTTGCCACAACTCTGCTTTTCCAATGATCTCTTCCTTCATTGGGAGTCAACTAGGGACATTATGGCTATGTCCCTGACCTGACCCAATAGAGTTGACCATAATAAACACACACACATTAAGTCATCCTGCATATGTGTGAAATCATGCCTGTGACTTGCAAGGAGTCTGTACTCAAGAGAATCTTGATTTCTACACAGCACATATCAAGTGGCATTTTCCCAGGCAGAAGGTGGCCGCGGATCCAAAGGATGGACCGATAGGCGTCAGCCCAGTGGAACCGGGAAGGCAAAAGCCCAAGAGTGGCGTGGAGCAAGGCAAATTCCCAAAGCAGGCCTTTGGTTACACCATTCAGGGAAGACGGACATGACGGCAGTGGGGAGAGCCAGTCTGCACAGTGTCTTCGGGTCCTGGCAAAAAGTATCATTTTTATTTTGGATTAAAGGGAAGCCGGATTAGGTTCAGGTGAACATAACTAGAGAGAGCTGCAATGGCCTTGGTGCAAGGTGATGGCAGTTTTCATCAGGTTGGTGTAGCTGAAGCTGCAGAGAAGCTGGTTTCTGGGGCTATTGATATATTTAGAGGGGAAATTGGATGGACTTGGTGTGATTGGGTGAGGGACAGAGGGCAATTGGTGGTCAAGAACTGTGATTCATGTCCTTAAACAAGGCCAGTGAACAGAGGAATGGCTCACTGTGTGGGAAGCAGACGTGAGGAGGCTGTGGCTTCCCAAGTGTTGTCAGGGGGACAGACTGACAGGAGGACATACCTACCTCAGGGGAGAGGCCTGCCCTGGGGATGGAATTATATGTGACAAAGAGGAGGGAGTTGGAACCCAGGGATGGAAAAGCTACATCAAGAAGAGAATGGAAGGGGTGAAGAGATAGCTCATTCTTTACAAACACTCTTGCTCTTCCACAGGATCTGGGTTCAGTTCCCAGTACCTACATGGTGGCACACAGCTCCAGTCCCAGAGGTTCCAGTACCTTCTGATCTCCACCAGCACCAGGCAAACATGTGGTGTACATAATGCATGCAGGCAAAACACACACAGAGTCACACACACACAGAGAAAGTCACACACACTCAACCAACATACTCACACACAAAGACACACTCACACATTCACACACTCACAAACACACTCAAACACATGCACGCACACAGACACACACATTCAATGTTTTAAAGAAGAGAATGGAGATGGGAGAGGCCTTGAGATGGAACTTCTGGACACTTGTCAGTGCCAGGTGTCAGGTGGAGTGTGAGGAGCCTCTGCAGGGCACTGTGACCATGATAGGAGGGCGGAAGTTCAGCCAAGCTCAGATTTTGGAGAACCAAGGAGGACGGGCCCAAGTCTGCAGGTGCGCTGACCTGGACAGCTGTGCCTGAAGTGAGACAGTGCAATCGTCTAAGAGAAGGCCAATGCAGGAAGACCACCCTGGCTACAGCCCCAAGTCTACGTGCAAGGGACTGGAAGGACAGTCCCCATCTTGGAGGTCTCCAGCAGCTCTGGCTGGGGACATATGCCTGCTTGGTGTTCTCCAAATCAGCCATCTTTACAAGACCTCCTGCCATTGGCTCTACTGTTTAGCTTTTGTGAATGGACCGAGTCTCTTGCAGACACCACAGCATGCTTCAAGACCTGTGAGGGACAGAGCAAGGAGATATGGCAGGTGAAGGGAGTGTTAGCTGCCTCCATCCCACTGCACACGCCAGCAGGGAACGGAGGCCATTTTCCATCTTAGTGTACCCCCCCCACTTCTGTGGGACCTGGACTACAGAGGGGAAGACAGACATTTCCCAAGGTAGTGGGGACGGATGTTCCCTGAATTCAATCCTCTTGCCCACCCTATTGGCAGATGCTACCGTATGGAAACCTCCAGGGTCAAAAAGCCAAACATCTCCAATCTGTGAAGCAGGTCCGTAGTACCTAGAGGCCATAGCAAATCCCAGGAGGCCTTGCCAGCACCCCGTGGCTTTAATTCTGATGGGGGAACTGAGGACTTGTTGAGCTGTGTTCCCCAAGACATGGTGAAGACATTTATTTCTTGGTATTGGCACAGGCTAAGATGAAGGAGCAGGTGCAGGGACCTGGAAAATGCCAACTATAGTCTTCTTACTCTGTTGGTCCCGGATACCATGGCCCAGTACAGGACCTTTGAGGACAGAGTAAACCCAAGACTGTGCAATTACCACTGCCCTGCCTAGAAGGTGGGAGAATACATAGGGGCCAGTCCCGGAGGCAGGCATGAGGTGGCAAGGGAGCCTCCACTGGAGAGGATTTGGGGTCCTGGTGGAGTTAGGGTCTCTCTAGGTGGTAGTGATGCCTGAGGAAGTTGCTCTATGCCTGCCCTTTACCTGCAGAGGTGCTGCCCCATGTGTCCTCCCGTCATAGGGGAGAAGGTCTTGGATCCCCTGTCTCCAGCACTGGGCAGCTGGACACTGCAAGACAGTGATGGAAGGGAGGGGCTGCTGTCCTCTTAGTTTCTGTTCAAGTAGTCTTGGCCCCCTCCTACTTTGCTGTGCTCCACGTCACTGCCAAAGCTAGGAGAAACTCCGGACACCATCAACAGCTCTCCTTGGGAGGTTTCTTGGTTCCAGGCAGGAGCCTCGATGATGAAGCACGCTTTTGGTGTCGCCACTTGGCCCGGCGATTCTTGAACCAGACCTGAGGAGGAGGGGGACCAGGAAGGCTCAGGCTCCACGGACCCACACCCAAAGAACTTCGAAAGGACTGATAGACGGGCCAGGTGATAGACTTCACCACAGAAGTGTAGGTGAAGGGACCTGTGTCACCTTCCCTTATCCACACACAAAAGGACTGAGAGTCCCCACAGGGAGATTTTCTAGTCTCCCTAGTCTTGGCCCAGTAGCAACCAGGATATCTCTCTGTCTCCGGTCTCTCTTAAAGTCACACGTAATCTAGGCTGGCTTCTAACTCGCTATGTGTCAAGGATGACTTTGATGAACTCATGGTTCTGTCTTCACCTCCCCGAGTGTTAGGATTACAGACGTGTGCCACCATGCCTGGCTAGTTTTGCACATTCTTAACTTTCCCACATCTGGGGCATGAACGAACGTATCATCATCAGAGGAAACGGGAAAGGCAGACAAAGTCGGAGAAAACGCCTCTTGACCCCTTCCAGTTCCGGTGACACCCAAAGAACCTACTGGGGGAACTGGTCTTGCGCCCCATCCACTGATCCTGGGAGTTTCCCTTCAGCGTGGAGGGCTATGAGGAGAGGCACGGGCTGGAAGGTCGGTCTTGGCGCCAGAGTTGGCCTCCAGGCTGCGGCGCAGACACCCACCTCCACGCGCTCCTCCCGCAGGCGAATGCGGACCGCCAAGCGCTCGCGCGTGCCCACGTCGGGATACTGGTTCTGTACGAAGAGCGCCTCGAGCGCCTGCAGCTGCTCCTCGCTGAAGATGGTACGGTGGCGCCGCGTGCGTCGCTGCGGACCCGGGCCGCTCGTGCCTGTCAGTGCCGGCGAGCCTGCGCTCGGCGCCGCCAGGGGCGAGGGCGCCGCCGGTGCCAGCCTCAGCGGCCACGCTAGCCGCAAGCCTGCGGGTCGGTACGAGGGCGCTGTCAGGCACAGGGTTAGGGTTAGTGCGGGAGCCGAGCTCGCCCTGGCGGTCGCCCTGCGGGATCCCAGGGCCCGCCTCACCCCACCGCTCGCACTCACCGGGTCCGGACACCGCCTCCCCGGCTCCGCGCGGTGCTGCTCGCGGACTGCAGCAGCAGCAGCAGGTGCAGGGCGCCGCGGCCGCAGGCGCCTCGGGCTCGTCCGGCTCAGCGAGGTTCTGGCCACCGACGGGCTGCGGTGGCCGCGCCGCGGGCCTACGTTCAGGCAGGCTGGAGAGGATGCGCTCGATGGAGAAAGGGCAGGGTCCAGGGTCCCTGCGGTTCGCCGCACTGCCTGCAGTCGCCATGCCTGCGGGCCGCCGGCGCGAGCAGCCGAAATATATACGTCGGGGGTGGGAGGTACGGTAATCCCTGGGCCGGGCGCCGCTTTCGCGCGTGCTAATCCCGTCTCCAGTCCTCAGAGAGCTAATCCCTGGCCACCGAGGAGGGAGTGCCACTCCGTCTGGGTGCAGGGAGCCCGCTGCCAGGAGGGAGCCATGTGTTCTGCCACGTCCAGAGTTGAAAGGAAAGGAAGTAGCCAGGAGTTCACACTGTCCCCTATGGTGCAGTCGCCTGCTGAGAGGGATGCCAGGACCCTGGAAACCTCTGAGCACAGGGACCCCGCCACTTCTGCCCCTGGCTTTCCTCATTCTGCCGCCACACATTTGAGTGGTGCCGATTCCTGGAATCCAAATTTCTTCCTCCCCTACTTCGAGTGAGCCCAGCACCATTGGCAGTCAGGTGATTTCACTTCACAGCTCTTGCTCTCTTTGGAGCCCAAGCCTGAATCTCTAGTAGCAAAATGCCATCTCCAGGGAGGGAGGCTGGCCTCCAACTAACAGAGTCTCCCGAATGCTGGGAGAGCCACCAATTCTGTGAGTTCTTTCTAGAGTCTAGAAGGGTTTCTTATCCTGTCTAAGGGCGGTCCTCTTGTTAGATCTTATCCTGTCTAAGGGCGGTCCTCTTGTTAGATCCCTGATACCCTTGTCCTGACTCCCTCAACATCAATATCCCCCTCACACCACACTGCCTAAGAGCTATTTCACATGCCTCCTCTACTCTTCACCCAGGTTGGCTCCGCTCTGCCTACAATATAACCTCTGCCCACTATTCTTCCCCCCAGAGACCAGCTCTTGTTTCAGCCTATGTCATTGTCAGTCACGAAGCTTTGCCTCCGAACCTTTGCTTGACACTTTGCTTTTGATCTTTGGAACTCCGTTGTGTGTCTCACCGGACAGAGAGGAGAAATCTGGGAGGAAGGAATAGCAAGACAGAACAAGGAGAGGAGGACATCAGGGGCCAGCCACCTAGGCAGCCAGGGAGTAAGAGTGAAACTAAGAGATACAGAAGTAACAAAAGGAAAAAAAGCCCAGAGGCAAAAGGTAGTTGGGATAATTTAAGAAAAGTTGGCAAGAAGCAAGTCAAGCTATGGCCGGGCAATCAAAGTAAGTGTGTATTTATTTGGGAGCTGGGTGGCAGGCCCCTCCCCAAGAGTAAAAGAGCCAAAGAGTAAAACAAAACAAAACAAAACACAAAACCAAAAACCAACAACAATATTTTGTTGTTCCAAAGTGGGAGTAGAGTAAAAGAAAATCCAACAACACAGAACTGCTCTGGACACGGGTGAGGGCTCAGGAAGAGTCAGCTAACCCACGCACTCTTCTTTCTCTTACCAAGCCTCCTTTAGGCTCCTCTGCTGGCTGCTGCGGTGCCAGTGAGGATGCTATGCACTTGAAGTGATGGATTTTTCACAAGGCTCTCAGAGTGAGCGCATCTGAGAGGCTTGGGGATAGCCTTACTAACTCTGTGTGTGACCTTTCAGCCTGTGGGTGCAGAATGACTGTCACAGCGCCAAACCTCCCAAGTGTCCCTTTGGATGTAGAAACCTTGTCTAGCAGGCCTTCATGCAGAACCATATAGAACACCTGTGCCTAAATCCACTACAATGCCCAGGGGCGTGGTGTGGCCAATTACTCCCACTGGAGTTCTCCTCAGATCGGGGCAACGAGGACAGGGGCAGAAAGGCCTCTGTGATGTCTGACGTGTCTTCCTCCTTCACTGCCCAGGCCTTGCCTCATTTCTCTTGTGTTTCTCTTCGTGTAGGACAGTGACATGGTGCTCTGCAGGAGCTGTGCCCCTGGGGACTCCCTCAATGCTGCCATTCAGGACCACCTTGAGGTATCAGTGAGCTAGGCCCTGTGCAGGTAGCAGTCACTAGGGTATGTGACTCATTTGTGTCTTCTTGAACTTGCTTGGCACTGCCTGGGGCAATGCCACTTTCACCACGTTATAGTGTCACGTGTCATTCCTGAGAAACGTGAACAAATATCTGCTCATCCCAAGCAGAGAACCAATGACAGCCAAAGTGAGAATCCTGCTGAAGTCCAATTGGTGAAGTAGCTTACAGGGACAGACATGACTCAAAGACAGCTGCTTCACTGTGGTGGGTTGAATGAGAATGACCCCAGAGGCTCAGATGTTTTGATATTTGATCACCAGTTAGTGGTGCTGTTTGAGCAGGTTTAGAAGGTAAGGCCTCCCGGAGGAAGTATGACTGGGGTTGGGCTTGGAGTTTAAAAGTCATTATGTAGAGCTGGCTCAGTGGTTGAGAGCACTAGTAGCTCTTTCAGAGGACCTGGGTTTGGTTCCCAGCACCCACATGGCAGCTTGCAACTGTCTATATATAACTCCAGTTCCCTGGCATCTAACATCTTCATAAAGCACATAAAATAAAGTTAAATGGATTGTCAAAAAATGCCATGCTGTTCTCAGATCACTCTTTCTGCTTGTGGTTTGAAATGAGTTCTCAGCTTGCTGCTCCAGCCATGATTCCTGCCTGCTGCCAACTCCAACCATGATTCCAGCCCACTGCCAAGGTTCCCCACTGTGGTGGGGATGAACTCTTATCCCTCTAGCACTATAAGCACACAAAAACCTTCTGTAAGTTGATTTGGTCATGATGTTTTAGCATAGTAATGGACAAGTGACTAATGCAGAGACCAAACGTCCTCTCCTGCATGGATGATAGCTCCTCAAAGCTGCAGGCAGCTGCTCGTGTCTGTCTTCTCAGCAGCTCTTACTCTATCACCATGGTTAAGGAAATACTTTTTTTTCTTTTTGTTTTTTTGAGACAGGGTTTCTCTGTGTAACAGCCTTGGCTGTCCTTGAACTCGATTTGTAGATCAGGCTGACCTCAAACTCACAGAGACTGGACTGCCTGTGCCTCCTAAATTCTGGGATTAAAGGAGTGTGCCACCACCATCTGCTACAAAGACATATTAAAATTTGAATAAACCCAATTTATTTCATCTTTGATTGCTTATGTTGTTGGTACCATACCTAAGAAGCCATTGTCAAATCCAAGACTTACTACTAGGAGCTGGGGATGTAGTTCAGATAGAAGAGTGCTTGTTTAGTATATACAAAGCCCTAGGCTTGGTCCACAACAATGGAGATGGGGGGCTAATATAGCTTATAGTTTTATAAGCTTTATGTGTTTTAGCTCTTACACTAATCCACTTAAGTTAAATTTTGCGTATGATATAAGATAGGATTCAATACCACCTCCATCTCTGGGTGTGGATAGAATGCATACCCTTGACCTGTTAGGTAAGTGCTTTACCACAGAGCCATATACCCACCCCAGCCACCAATCCAGGATTCAACTTTTTTCTTCTGTATGGGCACCTGATTTGTGTTTTGAGTTTTTTTGTTATTTTGAGGTCAGGGACTCATGTATCTCAGCCTGGCCTCAAGCTCACTGTGTATCTGAGGATGGTCTTGAACTATTAATCTTCCTACCCCCCATCTCTGGTGCACTAGGATTAAATATGTGTGCTCCATATCCCACACAGTACCATAAGAATGATTATTCTTTCTCTATTAAGTTTTGTATTTCTGTAAAAAAAATCAATCGATCACAAATGTGAAGACTTATTTATTTATTAGACATACAGGGTATTGAACCTAAGGCCTCATACATGCTAGGCAAGCATCTACCACAGAGCTACAGCCCTAGTCCATGAAGATTTTTCTCTGAATTCTACTTTATTGATCTGTTGGTTTAAATTTTAAAACAAAGATTTTGTTGTTTATTTTTATTTTGTGTATGTAGGTGTTTGCCTGTATCTATGCCCATGTAGCACATTTGTGCAGTGCTTGAAGTGAGAGAGAGAGAGAGAGAGAGAGAGAGAGAGAGAGAGAGAGAGAGCATTAAACCTCCTGAAACTGGACAGACACCTGCATCCTGTAGAAGAGCAGTAGGTACTCTTAACTGCTGATCCATCTCTCCAGCCCAGATGTTTATTCTCATGCTAATATTATGCTGTCTGTTTTTCCAGTAGTGGAGAGTGAGCCTAGAGTCTTAAGTATGCTAGGCAGGTGCTCCATTGCTGAACTGTATCCCCAGCCCTCATTCTGTTGTTTGTGGTTGATGTCTGGACTGGGCATTTCCAGGTTCTGGAATCTAATTCAAATAACTGAAATAAAGGTACACACAGATTGCAGATAGTAAGGACATGTTATTGAAAAGCAAAGAAGTAGTGCAGATCAGATGTGCTGTAAACAGCAGCGGGCCTCACGAGTGAGATTATGCTCAGGGCACAGGGGCTGTTTGAAGTGTCCTTTTACGCCCCATAAAACCATAGGCTGCTGTAGAGGCATAGTGAGGGTGGTTTTCTGCCTGGATTGGAGCGTTTGGGTTACATAATCTTCCCTATTGCTAAAAGTAAGTCTGCATGTGACCCAGCCATACCCCTTCTTGATGTGTGCCCAAAGGACTTAACATCCTACTCCAGAGATGCTTGCTCAGCCATATTCATTGCTGCTCTATACAGCTAGGAAACAAAGGCAAGCTAAACATCTTTCTGTCACGTCTGCTGCGCGGCCTGTGTCCGAGAACGTGCGGAGGGTGTCGGGTATTGAAAACACAGAGACTCGTTCAATGATATAAAGAAAACTTTAAACAGGCTCCAAAAAGGTTCAAGAAAAACTTCCTAAGAAAAGCTCCCACCAGAGAAGCTTCTGCTCCCTCCTCTACCCTGGCTGGTTCTGCTCTGACACCAGAGGTGGATGTGTGTGGGTTTCTGAAGGTGCGGTTAGTCTTTGGACAAGGTCGAGGTCAGGGCGGTTTCTGTGGGAAGGCCTTTCCCAGGAACTTATTGTATCATTTTTAGTAAACATGTTTTTACTAAACATTGTCTTACAGCTGCCTACTCCCAGGCAGAAGGGGAAGTGGCCAGGAACTTATTGTATCGTTTTTAGTAAACATGTTTTTACTAAACATTGTCTTACAGCTGCCTACTCCCAGGCAGAAGGGGAAGTGGGTCTCTGCTCAAGGT